CCAGAAGAATTACTTCTCGTGGGAGACTCCGGGGATCGGACAGTATCTGACCTCCCTGGCTGCCCAGGGCACCGCCTTCCTCCTCCTCCTCTTCTTCATCGAAACCAACCTCCTCTGGAGGCTGAGGACCGTTGTCTGCGGCGTCTGCCGGCGGCGGAAATGGGTGAGCTGCTGAGCCAGGTGCCAGGGAAGTGATGCTGGCGGAAATGAGAATCCGGCCCCTTGGCTGTTGAGGGGAGGTGGGCCCCCCCCACGGGTGGAGCCGTTGTCGGGGCCCGAAAGGAGCAGCTCTGGGCTGGAGTCCTGTTGTTTCGCTGCCTAAGAACCGGCGTACTCCGGGGCCCCTCTCTGTCCCCAGGCACTGCTGCTGAACAGGACGCCAGTGCTGCCGGAGGACCGGGACGTGGCGGACGAGAGGAAGAAGGTTTTGGAGTCCCCGCCAGAGCTGCTGTCCTCCCTGAGCCGTTGTCGGGGCCCGAAAGGAGCAGCTCTGGGCTGGAGTCCTGTTGTTTCGCTGCCTAAGAACCGGCGTACTCCGGGGCCCCTCTCTGTCCCCAGGCACTGCTGCTGAACAGGACGCCAGTGCTGCCGGAGGACCGGGACGTGGCGGACGAGAGGAAGAAGGTTTTGGAGTCCCCGCCAGAGCTGCTGTCCTCCCTGAGCAGCCCCCTGGTCATCAAGGAGCTCACCAAGGTGAGCTGGAGACCAGGCACCGCGCAGGGCACGGCCGCGCTGCAGAGGCTCCCAGCTGGAAGGACACAGCCGGCTCGGGGGCGGCAGGGCTGGGTTTGAAGGGCGCGGGACCTTTGCCCAGTCTCTGGACTATGCGTTTACATAGCAGCCAAATCAGGGGTTGCTCCCACGCCACCCATGGGGCCCGTGCCGGCGGCCCCGGTGGGAGCATGGGGGCAGCCGCTAGTCCGTGCTGACGGGGCAGGAGGTGGGGTCTCGTTCTGTGCTCCCAGCCCTGGGGCCGATCAGGCCTTGGATTTGATTTGTCTCGAGGCTGCTGTCCTGGGCGGCCCGGTCCGGGAACAGCGGCAGCAGCCCGGGCTCTCCATGACCAGCGCTTGCTCCCTGCGCGCTCCCAGGTGTACGACACCCAGGAGTCCCTGCTGGCTGTGGATAGGATACAGCGGCAGCAGCCCGGGCTCTCCATGACCAGCGCTTGCTCCCTGCGCGCTCCCAGGTGTACGACACCCAGGAGTCCCTGCTGGCTGTGGATAGGATTTCCCTGGCGGTCAGCCAAGGCGAGTGGTTTGGCCTGCTGGGGTTCAACGGGGGC